TTTTTTTTTCGGCACAATGGGGATCACCAGCATTCACCGGGTTCTCAGGTTATTCATCTAAATCCTAAAAAGGAATTACCGTTAGCTCCGGACAAAGAGTTGTCCTGTGGAAAGACCAGTGAGAAAGGTTGCACCATTGGAAAAATGATAACAAAGAAAAAGATTCCTTGTAACACGACGCGGGATTGAAAAGGCTCTCGGATGTTTATACTCTTCCATTTTATCCCTTGTTTATCAAGCTAAACAAATGTTAATGGGTCTGGATTAAGGTGAGTGTTATCATTAGATAACAAAGGCTTGATATTCAATGGAATCTATTGCGTCAATCAATCCAGCGAACGAACTTTTTTTTAAGACTTTTCATTTAACGACGGTGTTCTCTATTTTTTTTTTCTTCAATCTGAAATAATGTCGAAACCGGAGAGCGTATGTAGTACATGATGCAAAAAATTTCAGCTCGATCGGTATATTAACAAACGATTAATTAAGTTGATGCGTTTTTCTTGTCCTCAAATGAATTATCCGGCAGCATAACGATTATCATTCTGTATAAACCCACGATTTCCCCGTAATTCCTCTCATGATAAACGATCTACCATCGATTAATGATGCAGAAGCGGAACGAGATTAAATATGCCTTCATCAATTAATTCCCTCACTCAACGTTTTCAAATTGAACCTTGAGAAAACGATAATTACGCATTCGATTTACTCCTGAATCATTAAATTCCCTCCCCCGCCCACTAACTCATGATAAAATTGCTACGATTCCGAGTCCTTGAGTATCTCCAGCCGCATAAATATTTTGACCCAGAGCAGGTTTTGCGGTGATGATAATTCCTCCTCCCCTATTTTTGGGGTGTAAGGAGGAAGAGGGTGAAAAGGGGGAGAGGTAAAGGAGAAGGGAAACGTTGGCGTGGCGCTGGCGGCACCTACAGAAGCCGACCCACGAGATATACACTTCCCAGGATCGTCAACCGTTATAAGACATGTGGTAGTTCAATGCATATTAAGTGATTCCCTAGCTCGCTCTGAATACCATTGAATTCAGTTGGTTTATCAGAATCCTATGCAGTCACACCACCATCCACCGGTATTGAAAATATTCAAATAGCGCGTTGACTCGAGTGACTCTTAAAATGCATCAATTATAATTTTTTAACTCTTCATGAGTAAAGGAGCGGAGAGAATTTCATTTGAATGTGGAATTCACCGGAATACTTTGAAGCAGAAATACTGTGCAGAACAGAAGAGGAGAACAGAGTCCGGGTAATAAAATAAACCGAGTGTATACACTTCCGTTAGTCAGATTTTATAGCATTTGAAATCGTAACCCCCGAGCGAGATTATGATACGATGATTACATTAATTGATAGTAGACACTGAGGACGTCACACCTCCGAGGTATTTTCAGGGACTATCTCGTTTTCCTTTGATCGTCCTTATATGTGTTGCATATAAGTATGAAAGATCTCGCACCTTCGGGTATACAGTATATGGTGGATCGTTGTGCGAATTTACAATCATGATATGCCATATATCCGTGGTAGACTGAAGGTACCTTTTATGTTTTATTCCATCCTATTTGCCTCTTCTCTCTCCGCATATCACTTGCCCAGACCGTATACGTACATCCGCGTGATATATGTCCAACGTACCGTTGATAAATAGACGGAACTATTGTTTTCATGTGGAAAGTGAGCGAAGTTGCCCCCGGGATTTCCTCAGGACGTGTGTCTTACATCAATGGGAAAATTCTATTCTCTCTTTCTTGTTCTTTTTCTCTCTCTCTCTCTTTCTCTCTCTCTCTCTTTGTGCTCCAACCATAACAGCTTCCTTTCCTTTTTCTCTGAACTTTCAACATTTTCATTTCAACCCGAAAATTTAGAGTCACCAAAATATTCAAAGAATTAACTCATTCGTCAATGAAGAATTAAAAATAAATTTCATGCTCATTTCATTTGAAATTTCAAGCGTAATTCTTCAACCGTGTATTACACATTCAATACCGACTAATTAGCGGATTTCCATTAATCATTTTTACCATAGGCAAATGAAAGTGATATTTCCACGTTAGATTATCGTAGATGCAATGCGATTTATTACACAACCAATTTTCAAATGCAATTGGCTACAAAGTTCTATCTT